GGGGAGCGGCAGAGGGAGAGGGAGAAGCAGGCTCCCCACTGAGCAGGGAACCCAGTGCGGGGCTCGATTCCAGGACCCTGGGATCATGAACTGAGCCAAAGGCACACACTTAAACAGTCTGAGCCACCCAGATGCCCCAAAGCAAAATTTATTGAACGATAGCAAAATGATAATACAAAGCTTCCAAAGAGGGCTCCTGGGAGGCTCAGTCATTAAGTGTCTGCCTTCGGCTCGGGTCGTGATCTCCGGGTCCTGGGATCGACTCCCACATCGGGCTCCCTGCTCCGCAGGAAGCCTGCTTCTCCCTCTTCCACTTCCCCTGCTTGTGTTCCCTCTCTCGCTTTACTTGTTTAAAGTAAAACAAAACAAAACAAAGCTCCCAAAGAGGGAGGGGACCCGAGAGAGTCCTAAAATATGTGGAAGTTGATTATTTTATTTTTAAAAAAGATTTTATTTATGTATGTGAGAGAGAGAAGGGAGAGAGTGAGAGAGCCCAAGGAGGGGGAGCGGCAGAGGGAGAGGGAGAAGCAGGCTCCCTGTCGAGCAAGGAGCCCAACGTGGGGCTTGATCCCAGGACCCCGAGATCATGACCTGAGCTGAAGGCAGATGCTTAACTGACTGCGCCACCCAGACACCCCCAAAATTCAAATGTCTTATCAATAGACGAATGAATCGAAATCCAAAACTTACTGTAGCAGAAGAGAACAAACAAATTAGAGGGAGAAGATATTGCAATGTATTCATTAATCAAGGGACCAGTATCAGGAACACATGTGGTAGACCTCCGAGCTCACTAAGAAAAAGTTAAACAATCCGGAAGAAAAATAGGCCAAAAGAGAAAACCCTAAAAACATAAGCAGATGCTTAACATAACTACTTTTCAGGAAAGGCTAGGTAAAATAACTTTGAAATACCATTTCATACTCATTACAGTGGCAAAATTCAGTATCTGACTAATTTCAGGTGTTTGAAAGACATATGGGAAATGACATTCTCGTTTACAACTATGGAGAGTGTAAATGTAGATGGCATAGTATAGTAAGTGGTATGGCAATTTTAAATATTTATTATTTATTTTAAGTATTTTAAACATTCAAAATGTGAAAGTTTAAATATTCACATAATCCAAAGAAAGCCTGTATTAAGATAAATACGCTGAAGAAATTTAGGCAGTTTTCATAGCAGCATAAATGTTTGTAAAATAAAGGAAGAAAGGTAAAAATAAGATCCTTGTCTCTTTTGTTCATAGTCATGTACTCTTCTAGAACAGTTGCTAGTTTATTATGTGTGTAGCTTTTTTGAACCTTTGCTTCAATGTCCCCACAGAGAACGTCAAGATGCAGATGGGCAAATGAAAGAACTT